ACCTTTGCGTAAGCCGGAAGTAGCTTCTTATCAATCATTTAGAAAATTGATGTGGAAAAACCTTCAATTGTTCTCTGAACAATTGGTTTTTAATCAATATCTGAATTCCTTGTTCATCCGATTTTCAAATATTGATTTACTTGTAAGTGTCTGCTTGCAAGATAACCATTGAACAATGTGTTCCTATTGGAAACGATGAAATTATATCTTCAAATATTCAAGATTCACTGACACCATCTTGAAATACTTTACGGTTATGAAATAGATTTGTCATATATGACCACGCGTATGTTCCAAATATTGTACCCACAATCTCTTGTTCTTTTCCTCAGACACAAAATACAAAGTATTATCGATTTTTTAACCTCCTGAGCAACACGATACATTTATATGTACATGGCAGCAAATCATGTTCCTCCGACTCATGTATGTAATATATACCCTTTATGTTCCCTGTTAGTGTTAAAGCCAGAAAGAGTTTGAAAGCCACCGAAACTTACCTACCATTGTCTACTGGAGTCATGGTAATACATTGAAAACCATTGTTAAGCTGTTGCTAGCAGAAAAACAAATTTGTTCCAGTTAGTTTACAAATAAGAACGACTGTAATCAAGGTTAAATGGCATTTCTTCTCACTATCACAATAATTTTTGTGTGTTTAAATTTTAATTTCAGATTAAAAATATTAATGATAAATATATTTAGATTTTGAAAATTCGTAGATGTAAGAAATGAATGCTGTGTCATTAAGTCAAAATGTAACAATCTGACATAATTAGACGATTATAATTTCATCAGAAGAACTAAGACCGCGAAAACGTGACGCTAGTGAGTTGATACACATACATATCATATTGGTCAATAAAGTCTTAAAATTTATGTAGTATATAACTCTTTTCGAGCAAGTTTTCAGTAAGGAGCAAACCCGTGTTAATGAAGTGTTTAAAGTGTGAACATGGAAGAGCTTCAAGTGTTTATCAAGATATTAAACACCATACGATGGAGCAGATGGTGTGTTACTTCTAAAAAATTATGGGAAACATTGTGCGTTTATTTTTTATCTGATATCCGAAGAAGTGATGCATGTGTTTGATTAGTCAATAAGTGTCTCTTCCGTGTTTAATACAAGGTAAATACCGTGTCTGGATCTGCATCGCTGCATACAATTATTTGGGATGACATTGTTACGGCAAGAAATCACCTGTAACTTGTAGCCAACAAAAGACACAAATCAATAATAGAATGTAACAAGATTTATTATACACAAGTTTACAAGAAATACTATACAAATTGAAATGTTAACTTAACTGTTCAATAATATGTCCGATCCTTTTTCTTTCCTTTATCTGGAATTCTTCTCTTAACTGTACGGACTATGTCTAATCTAGTATGATGTAGTTAACGTAATTAAAGTGTCAATCGAAAAACTTCAGAGAACTTCTGTGAATCCAAGTAAATTAATGTCTAAAAAAGTATAATTTCGGTATCTGCATATATAGTTGTCAAGGAAACTCCTAGAATACAGTAGAAGTTTAAATTACACATCGTATAATTATAATAATTCCAGAATTATTATGTAAGTCAAATAGAAAGTTCTAATCATTCCATCAGTATCTATGATTGTTACAGTGATTTTTAAACTGCACATTTATAACATTATTTTGTAAAGAACTATAAATATGATGTAAAAATATTATTCATATTATAAGGCCACACAAAACAAATTAGGCCAAGATAGATACAAATGATAATAGCAATACCATTACACCTCCCCCTTAACTGGTTTACTCTCACCTTCATTAGTACGCTCAAAATATGGTTTCAACATATTAATATGACACACTCTATTTTGTTTGCACCTGCAGTTCTTACAATATAATTCAAATCATTGATTTGACTCTCTATTGTGTAAGTACCACAGTATCTAGCCTGTAAAGGATATCCAGGGACTGGCAAACATAAAAATACCTTATCACGAGGCTCAAAACCTCTGTCCCTGGCATCTTTATCAAACCATATTTTCATCTTATTTTGAACAGCTTTTAAGTTTTTCCAAGCAATTTGACAAACAGTATACAAATTTTCCCTAAATCTAGATACATAGTCTAGAAGATTCAAGTCAGTGTGTTCAGTTAGTTATTTTTCCTTAACCAATTGTAAAGTTCCCCTTACAGTATGGCAGAATATCAACTCAAAGGGACTAAAACCAAGGGATTCTAGAACAGTCTCTCGGACCGCAAAAAGTAGACTGTGAACACCATCATCCCAGTCTCTGTCAAATTGAAACAAAAAGTTATAATCATGTTCTTCAATGTTTTTTGATAACGTTCTAAGGCACCTTAAGATTCTGGGTGATCAGCACTTGACCTATAATTAGCAATCCCTAACTGGTAAACGACCTGCTGAAATAAACCCGACATGAAATTTGAACCCTGGTCGAACCGTATAGACTTAGGAAATCCTACTCAAGTGAAAAATTTTATAAGAGCTTTCACAATAGTTGGTATCTTGATATTCCTTAACGGAATAGCCTCAGGAAAGCGAATGGGTGTACACATGATCGTCAATAAATACGCATTTCCAGCCTCGGTCCTTGGTAAAGGTCCAACGCAATTAATCAATACTCAACTGAAAGGTTCTTCAAAGGCTGGAATTAGCAGAAGTGGTGCTGGTAGTATTTTGTGGATAAGCTTGCAAACAACCTGGCATATATGGTATGATTTGCAGTATTGTGTGACATCATCCTTAAATCTGGGTCAGTAGAAATGCTGCAAGATCTGTAGGTAAGTCTTCCTTATACCTAAATGTCCAGCCAAGGGGTGTCATGGGCAAGACCAATAATTTCTTGCCTATAAACTTTAGGCATCTCCACTTGGTATATTACTCTCCATTCTTCCTCTGGGATAGCATCAGGGGACTCCATTTCCTCATTAAAATGCCGTCTTTATGGTAGAAGCATTCGGCTTATTGTCAGCTTCTTCTTGTGGTTGAGCCCTCTTGCTGAGCTGAAGAACCTCAGGATCTTTATTTTGTTCTTCCACAAATTTTCTTTTGTCTAATGAATGGCTGTAAACTTCTTGACCTTGCATAATTACATGTTTGTTAGTACTAGGTGGTCTTATCATGGCCTTTTTTGAGCCACAAAAACCGTCAATGTCGGCAAGGAAAGTGTCAGAAAGGTCCATATAATCATACTGGTCTTTTTGCAAATCCTCATTCTGTTATTTTCTTGCCAGCGCCCCAGTAACAACACAAGCTGAATACAGTTCAGCATCATCCTCAGGTGATTTAACACCAACAACCGGTTCACTGGTAACAATTGGTTCAGCAACCACTTTGTTCCTAGCTAGATCTTTCCTAGCAATCAGAGAGATTAGGACGAACACCCACAGGTCCAGTAATTAAATCTGACTTCAGATAAATACGATGGAGGGGAACATCTCTACAACCTAACTCCACACTCTGTAATAAAACGGAAGCACCGACAGAAGTCTCCTCTGACAAAGGCAGCACACCTTCTAATAACAAAGTTAAAGAAGCTCAAGTGTCCCATAAAATCTTAATGGGCTGAGGAGTAGTATTATCAACAATAGAAACAAACCCATCAGACATAAAGGGTTTATAATCCTCCATGTAATGACAAAACTGGACGTAAAAGACTGACTCGCAGGACATTCCAACTTATAGGTAGCAAAGGGGTGTCGTACAAGCAGTGGATGTGGGTTTATTATTTCTTTCATTCTTCTTCTAGAGTCTAAAACAATCAGCCATCAGGTGACCATTTTTCTTAAAATAAGCACAAGTTAATGACTTCTTCTCAAAAGTATAAAATTTTGGACTAGACATATTATTACTGGATTGACTCTTATTCTGGGCAACAGGCTTATTATCAGTATGCTCAGTACTATGATTTTTGTAATTTCAGCTCGAAGTATTAACATTTTGACCTTTGAAACTTCTTGTATGTGAAAGGGTATAATTATCGGAAATAACAGCTGCATCTTGTAATGTCTCAACAGTTCTGTCATCTAAATGTGTTTTTAAGTCTTAATGAACACACAGCTTGAACTCTTGAAATAACATCAGTTGTCTTATATTATCAAAATTGTTATCTATTTGCTTTGACGTAAGCCATTTATCAAATAGATCTTCTTTTTCCCAAGCAAATTTAACATAGGTTTGTGAATCAAACTTTTTATAAGACCTAAATTTCTGTCTATATTAGCTTATAAGCTTTCAAAACATCGTGTTTTACAGTGTCATAATCAGAACATTTTTCTGATGAAAGTGCTGCGTAAATTTCAGCAGCCTTGCCCTCAAAAAATATTTTGCAGCATTGTAGTCCAATAAGGCTTTGATCATTTCAAATTTTGAGCAATTTTCTCAAACTGTGGAAAATATTTATCAACTTTTTTTTTTCACAAAATCTGGGAACCAAACGTATATTTTTTTTTCTGCATCAAAATATTCTGATTTTGACTCTACATTAGTGTTGCTTTCTACTTTGACCATTTCAATTTCTATTTTTTCCATCTCTAACCTTTTCCTCATTTCAAGTTCTGCCTGTTTTAATTTAAATTCATCTTTTTCTTTTTCCAATTGTTTTATTTTAACTTCGTTTTCCATTTTTTTTCCCAACTGTTTTGATTTAAATTCATGTTCTAACGCATCTTCATCTAGAATTTTTGCGTCAACTTATGTGTCTATTATCAAATTTTTCATAATTTGTTTTCTCGTGGATTGTCTAAAATCAATTTTTAGATGTTTAGCAAGCAACACTAATTCCTCTTTCTTTTAGTTATCAAACCATTACATGTATGGCGATTTCAAAAATTTACCAGCATCAAATGCCATTTTGTAGAATTGTGTTGGCTAATTCTAATTCTATAAATACATAAAATTTTAATCTGATATTAACGTTTTCCCGGATGAGCCCCTTAATTCTGTTTCGGCCAGAAATCACCTTTTACTTGTAGCCAACAAAAGACACAAATCACAAATAAAATTTAACAAGATTTAATATACACAAGTTTACAAGAAATATTTTACAAATTGAAATGTTAACTTAACTGTTAAATTATATGTCCGATCCTTTGTCTTTTCTTTATCCGGAATTCTTCTCTTAACTGTACGGAATATGTCCAATCTAGTATGATGTAGTTAACGTAAATTAAGTGTCAATACAACAACGTAAGAGAACTTCTATGAATCCAAGTAAAAGGTAATGTCTAAAAAAGTATAATTTCGGTGTCTGTATATGTAGTTGTCACGGAAACTTCTAGATCACTGTAGAACGGAAACTCCTAGAATTACACATCGTATATTATGATCATTTCAGAATTATTATGTCTGTCAAATAGAAAGTTCTAATTATTCCATCAGTATCTATGATTGTTCCAGTGATTTCTAAACTGCACAATTATAACATTATTTTGTAAACAACTATAAATATGATGTAAGCATACTATACATATTATAAGACCACACAAAACACATAAAGCCAAGATAAATAAACATGATAATAACAATATCATAACAACATGTATACTGAAACATAACTAATCATTCCTTTCAATCAAGCCAAGTAAACTTTTACGAATATTTTCCTTGTTCAATCAGAGTTGTAATATTTTGAACTTTTGGCAAACAGAAAGTCGCCACAACTCAACATTATCAAGCTGCACACCAAATATGAAATAATTTCCTTTCAACGAAGCCCTGAAAAATTTAACGAAAGTTTTTTATCAAAGGCACGACGATGTGAGCGAAACAGGTAAAACATTTTCTAGTCAAACCAGTTGCAAATTTATGTCATGATTTCGAAAGACTACACATTTAAATATAATCATAACGTGTTATAAAACAAGAACAATAACATTCATATAAATATTACAGAAATATGTATAGTAGTCTCGCGCGTTGAATATAATACAGTTTCAATCTACATGTTTACTAGTTTAATTGCAGAAACAACGTATAAATCAAATATATGTCTGATAATTGAATTCACATTAAGAAATACATTGTAGGGTTTTAGACATATTGTGAACAATTTGAATAATAACTTGAAGTACTAGAAAAAAGTCTAAAGTTTTGATTTGTTTCGAATCAATTACTTAAATAGATATAAGGTGTGGTATGAGTGCCAATGAGACAACTCTCCATCCAAGTCAAAACTTATAAAAGTAAAGACTATTCCGACAGTTTATAATGCTTTTCAATACGCTAAGTTATATAATAACATTATTTGTAGGATAATAGAAAAGTGAAATCAATTTGAATAAGTAGAGGACACTAGGCTATAAATTGTAGTTATAAAACACATGATTGGTAAGAAGTGTAGCTAATTATTTTGAATTTGATATAATACTCAGTCACGAGAGAGCATTTAATAATTATCTGACATAAGAAAATATCAAAGTATGAATGATTCGTGTGATGCAACACGTACAATATACTTATTGTGTGGTTAAAACAGATTTTAGGAAAAACATTGGAAAGTTTCTATTTTGATGTATCAGAATCATATATACTTTAAACATAAAACGTGCATGCAAATAAACAAGGACACATTATATTCAGATTATTTAATATTGTTTTTGCATCGGAAGGAAGTGTTTTCTATCATTTCTGTGTTTCGCTAATGTTTATTACTGGCTGTCACTGTTGTCTTATGTATTTCATCCTTCTGAAGAAATAAATACAATGGTTGTTTTTGTTTAACTTAAAACTATACATCAGACATGTTTACAAGTGGTGTTATAAATTTGTGCTATCTGCTTACTGGGTGCAATTTGTTTGTCTTTCTTAAAACGCATTGAAAATTAACACTTAGTTCGTCAACGATGTATGTGAAGGTTTGCTTAAATGTTCGCAATTTTGTTGTCCATTACATTAACTTCCATATTTTTAGCTTTTAGATAATAAACTAGTCTACCGCTGTGTTGAAGACCCATTCAAGGCCTTGGGCTGTTTTCTGCTCTTACGTCGGGTTGTTGTCTCTTTGACAAATTCCCCATTTCCATTCTCAATTTTATAATATACTGAACATCTCCTTAAGGACTGTTATTGGTTCATTTGTTTGATCTTGTATTTGGGCACGATTTAACGCAATAAATAGTGTGGACTGATGTTGTTTACGTCCAGTTTTAAGGAACAACAGTCACACTAGTCGTGTTAACATTTCAACAAATACTGCATTTCCCCTTTGTAAAAGTGTACTATTGATCCTCTATTAACAAACAGTACATGCTAGCTCTGTTTTTGATAAATATATATAGTCACTTTATTTGTTGAAATTATCTGTATATGATGAGTATGTATCCGGTCTATAAGAGTAAGAAAAATACCATTTTGTGCATATCCTTATCGATCAGTTAGTAATTAGATGTATTGTACTTTTTCATGTAAATTTTAAGTATGAACCAAATAAATTGAAAATAAACATGTTATTCTACGTGTATAGCTATCAGTGATACAATTTTGTATAATCCTTATATGTACTTCTTTTGATGACTAATGCATATAATTTACATCCGCGCCATCGAAGAAAAATATAAATAGTAAGCTTTATCTTCAATACTTACTCTCCACAGGTACAGCTACAATGAGAACATATTATATCATCGTCGGACTTTTGTCAAAATTTATTTACCTATCGGACCTAACAGTGTAAGTTCTATAGTTTGAAATGGTTCACGTATTGTCATTGTAGGATTTTTTTAGCTTACTCAATATGCGGGATTTGTATTTCTCACTATTGGAAAAACCCTTAATGTGACTTATTGTAACTACTATCAACATAATTTACTGTATATTGGGTAGCTGTCTCACTGGCAATTCTACCACATGTTGTAATGTTTATCCTATAGGCTAATAGTTTAATGACTGACCATATAATTTATCAAATTAAAATATTCAAGTTTATTTGATTTTTTTATAAGAAAAGTAACAGTGTTATTTATGCATCTTGATAACACTTTTCAAACATTGTAACTGTCACCTTTTTCCACTTTTATAAGAAGACTTCCATTTGTCAGATGATTCCTATGACAACAGATGTTCAAAGTTTTTAGTTTTAGTTTTCGATTTGGTACTTGACAGTTACTGACTAAAGTTTAATAATGCATATATTTGAAATAGTAATGGTTTGATATATATATATATATTACATAACACAAAGGACAACACATGTTTCTGTTTTTTGTTTTTGTAATTGTAGAACTATGTTTTTCAAACAGACGTCAGACATTTATTATTAATCGGAAACAACTTTCAATTGCGACGATTAATCAAATAACCAGGAACTCTGGTTTACAGCATAATATGTACATATCTGTATATAATACGTTGCTTAGACATATAGATATATAACATGAAAGGAATATTGAGAAAGAAGACACAAGATAAAAAAAATATTGTTACAATTTAGACATATTGTCACCTTTTTTCAGAAGTACGGACATACTAAACATATACGATATTTTGAGAACTAGGAATATCGTTACGCAATTAGATCATTCAGCTTATTGCAACCTGCATAATTAATAACATTATTCAAGTTTAAAGACTATCGTCATGTTATAAATTGCGAGATAATTGTAAACTATACTTATCTGTTTGAAACTATTCACTTACCGACTGCAAAAAAAATAAAATCAAGTAAATGATCAAACAATACATCATACTATCTAGCAATGAGTTATAGAAGCCGCCGTTGTATAAGTAGTAAAGTGATAGTAGAACTGACAGCTTTTTGTTGAATGTTAAAGTCAGTAATCATGTCAAAAATTAAAATTTTGTGTTTGTAATATTTTATTATTACAAACATATAATGTTTTCTGAAGCACTGGTCTTCTTGTGACTGTACATATTGGCAATTGATACATTGATTGGACATATAGATATATAACATGAAAGGAATAATGAGAAAGAAGACACAAGATAAAAAAATATTGTTACAATTTAGACATAACCACTGGTTGAGCTTCAGTCTTCTATTGCCTGTTTTGTCTTACTGTTATAACAAATAACAAATACAACTGAAAAACAAGTTTGATCTTTTATCAATTAAAAAATATAAAACTTCCATATGTGAGTGATAATTAGTTAACTGTGGATATCAAAGGTTATAAAACTTTCAAACATCGTCCGTTTACAGATACATGTACAACATTATAAACCTGATCTCTTTAATAACTTTCTATACTGTTTTTGGTGGGGTTAGTGTTGCTTAGTCTTTAGTTTTCTATGTTGTGTCCTCTGTACTATTATTTGTATGTTTGTCTTTTTATTTTTGGCCATTGCGTTGTTAGTTTGTTTTCGATCTAAGAGTTTGACGGTCCCTCTGGTATTTTTCGTCCCTCTATTATGGAATACTTTGTTATTACTGGCAGTATATTTGTCAGGTTATAAAGTCGTAATGATTTACCTACACAACGTGTAAATTAATTTGGAAGCATTTTGTCTAAATAAAGTTATCAATCTTTGTGTTTCAATATATTATTCGTTCGGTTAAAGACATTTATAACATTTAGATTTGTAACAATAACAAATATTACATTGAACATATTCACGAAAGTATTTAATACTTGAAATATTTTTTGTTATACATGTTATAATACTAGAGAAAAACAAGGTGTTGTTAAAGATATTTATAAACAACAATACGAATTGTCTATTTGTTCACGTTTGAATTTAGACTACTTAGCATTTCATTTAAAATCCTACTGATCAAAATATCGCATTGCTTCTAATATACGAATGGATTTTGTTACTTCTATATAATTGCGTCTTTATTGATTAGAACTTTTTTTATATTTTCCAATTTCAATAAAAACACCATATTCAACATGCACTACCTATTGTCCTTTCATTTTTCATTGTTTGTAAACTAATCACAATATAGTTATCTTTATGGTAAATAACACTTACTGTGCACTGAAAAATATAAATAAAAATACAAGTTTAAAATCTGAGGAATAATTTAAGACAATCATGATACAGCAAATACTCATCTCAAAAACACCAGTTTATAAATTTTACTGAATATGTTCAGCACATTGTTTTAAGTGTTTTAGTTTTCTTAACTAGAAACTGTGTTTTCTTGAATGTGGAAGCTATTCAAACGAAGTATAGATATCAAAAATGACAAACCAAGTGGTGAACATGAATACCTATATCCCAAAAATAGTTGTAAAGTCATTATCTTCTCTTTTAGAGTTTTATACAAATCACGATAGCATCAATTTTGTCTATAGGTATTTTGTATCTATGGTGTCCAGTAGTAAATTATATACCAATCATAGAAGAACAAAAAATTGAAATGTATATTATGAAAATACTAGCATATTGATAATGTGATGTTCTTTTGCTGATCGCCTATTGATGAGTAGTTACTGCATAATCAGGAGTATATACATGGTATGTAGCACAACATTCTATTTTTTGAAAAGCAGTTAAATGATAGGTATAATCAAAAAGAATAAACAAGACTAAACATAAAGTCGCAATTTTGACATCGGTTAACTACTGTCTCCTTAACATAAAGATGAGGATATACCAAGATGTGACACTCGGAAAAATGTTAGTATTTTCACGTAATTAGCATATTCAGTGGCTGCATACATAAATAATCACATGGTTCAAGCTTTATAAACTAGTAATCGCCTGTCATTATCAAGTCATATTATTTCATAATGTATTCTCATATTTCATACTTGACAACAATAATTTAAAAATACAATTTCTTATAATCTTTCCAAAAGGTTTATTTTAAAGAAAAGCAGATAATAGTGTTTTACCAACCCATTTTTAAATACTTTTTTTCGACTATTTCTCTCTTAAAATGGTATGTTTATTGTTTTACTTTACTACACTACGTTCACCATTATATAAATATTGTTATATTATAAATTGCATATATAATTGTACGCTATACCTATCTGTTTGCTACTTGACACTTACCGGCTGAAAAATTCAAATAAATATTCATAGAATACAGCATACCATTTAGCAATGAATTATTACAATGAAAATGGAATTAATTGAATTTGTAGTAAAGTGATAGTAGAACATTTCGAGATGACAGCTTGGTCTGTCAGATTATTCAATAGTAAAGTCATTAGTCATGCCAAATATTGAAGTGTGATATTTGTATGATTTCAAAGTGTCGCTTTATAAATTCAGAAATTATAAAGAAACTTAGGTTTTAATACCCTCAAGTAATGTTGACGTTGAGTTGATATAATTATGTTTGTTTATGTTCTCTATGGTCATTTACTTGAACTATGTTGATTATTATACGTTCCGTGATTTAAACATTTCTGCTTTGAGCGTTTCCCGTTAAGGTAAATTTAGAAAACAGCACATGAAATCAATCCCGGTTTTTTTGTTTTTTGTATACTGTTGTGTGTCGTTTTGTCTTTTGAGGTTTATGTCATGGCATGTCAGTTTATGTTCGACTAATTAGTTTGAATGTCTGTTTGGTATTTCCGCCTCTTTTGTAGACGGAACACGTGTCTATCACACATCATTATATAAATATCGTTATATTATGAATTGCATAGATAATTGTACGCTATACTTATCTGTTTGCTACTTGACACTTACCCGCTGAAAAAATCAAATAAATATTCATAGAATACAGCATACCGTTAAGCAATGAATTATAGAAACGACAATGAAATTAATTGAATAAGTACTAAATTGAACATGTTAAAATGAAAGTTTGTTCTTTCAGAATATTGAATAAGTATTGTCATTAATCATGCCAAATATTGAAATGTGATATCTGTAGGATTTCAAAGTTTCGCTTAATAGATTTAGAAATCATTGAAAAACTTAGGGTTCAACACATACAATTAAAGTTAACCTTAGGTTGATTTAACTAGTTTTGTTTATTAAAAAATAAGGAGATGTGGTATGATTGCCAATGAGACAGCTATCCACCAAAGTTCAAATGAAGTGAATGTAAGCAATTATAGGCAACCGTACAGCCTTCAACAATGAGAAAAACCCAACCAGTATGGTCGGCTATAAAAGAGCCCGACATGAACAATATGAAACAATTCAATTGATAAAACTAACTGCTAATTTATAACAAAACAATTTACGAAAAAACAAATATAACAGACATGAACCAACGACAACTACTGAACTACATGTTCTCTATGGTCACATACTTCAACTGTTTCGGTTATCATACATGCTTGGCTTTAAACATTTCTGGTTTTAACGCTTTCCATGAAGGTAAATCATCAACAAACAGTACATACAATCACATCCGGTTTTGTGTGTTTTGTATACTGTTTGGTGTCTGTTTGTCAGTTTAGGTTTTAGCCATGACGTTGTCAGTTTATTTTCTACCTTTCAGTTTGACTGTCTCTTTGGTATCGTCCGCCTCTTTTGTAGACGAAAGGCGTGTTTTGGCATACATAATTTTTATCCTTGTATCTTTTTATATTGTTTTATTGTATAATATATTACTACTGGCAGTGCATGTTTAATTCCATGCAAAGAATGAATCAATTCGGAAGCAATTGGCCTATACAAATTTAACGATTTTGTTCTCTAATTACAGTATTCATTGAATTTTGGACACTTATTAAGTTTCGGTTTGTAAAAAAATAAAATTACACTGAAGGTTTTTATGATCAACTTTATCACTTCGGTCATGCGTGTTATAGAAGAGAGAAACAGGTTGTTGTCAAACATCTTTGAAAAATCCCATATGAATTTGTATTGTTCAATTGTTTCCGTTTGATTTAAAATTACTTTGATTTTTTTTAAAAGTATGATACTGATACCTAATTGACCAATATTTTAGGTTATTTTGACTCATCTTATTCCATCACTTTATCATCTCGTTTGGTACGGTATTAGGAAACCTTCTTTTCATAAAGAACGAATGTAGTGAACAACATTCGATTACGTTCTAGTTGATAAACAAACATAATAAAAATGCAAAATGCTTGAAATGTGATATTCATTATAAAAAGTGAAGAACCTCATGCAAAACACGTGTATTAGAGATACAATGCGCATACTTGTGAACCCCCAGTTGTGTGTTTCTTCTTAAAATAATGGACGCTCGAATTAAATAAAGTTGAAAGACTAAATAAAGTATGAAGTTGATGAACATTGAGGAATTACAATCTGAACAGTTTTGCAAAATACAGCTTATCAAAGACCTTCAATTTTGGTGTTGTAAGTTATTGATAAGTAGAATGTTTGCTCACTTACTAATGCTGAGACGTTTACAATTGCGAACATATAAGATATAAAAAAATGAAATGAAATATTACCAACGTATACAAAACTATAGGACTAACAGCCTTAGGAGTTACTGTTTTAACGATCAGTCAGCAGTCATCGATCAGTCAAGTTCACGGTAAACTCCCATCATCAATCCATTAGACTAATAGGGAAAATCTTTTACTGATCTGACAAATTTACCTTTCTAACGGTTTGAACTCTACTAGGTCACATAATGAATGTTTACAAATTAAAACGGAAAAAATAAGAGGACCGACAAGTTAAAACGAATCACTTAGCAAAGTTATCACATCTACAATGTTACGTTTGTTAAAAGTGGAGTGAAATATGCTGATAGAACTAAAATTTCAATTTTATAAAACAAAAATGCGATTGTAGTAAAAATAAAGGCTTTTGTCATCAAATTCGACTAGTGCTTTATTGCGATTGCTAAAATCTACTAAATTTGCTCTTAAAAATCAAATAAACAAATATTGCAATTCCGGTGCATGATTTTAATGAACTAAAAAAATATGCAAAGGGGACACTATAAACAAAAAAAAATATAAATAAAATTGAGAATGGAAATGGGGAATGTGTCAAAGAGACAACAACCCGACCACAGAACAGACAAGTATGGTTTCTCTTAAATTCGTCATTTTATAAAGAACAGCCAATCCTGATATGCAAAAATAACTATATGGTTGATGATTTCATTTAGAATCTAATAAAATGAAGAAATAATTTGTTTTTGAATTTAACACAAAAGTGTTAAGGTATCTATATCCATATACTACTCACATTTGTACTAAAATCTAATGGTGGGTCATGATTTACATTTAGATAACGAAATAATTGCCTTATTTT